GCGGTATTCGGTAAGACCATGGAGAACGTGCGCAAGCACGTCGACGTGAGACTGGCGACGACATGGGAGGGTAGACACGGCGCGGAGGCGCTGATCGCGAAACCAAATTTTCACAGCCGCAGCATTTTCGCGGAAAATTTAATCGCCGTCGAACTGCGTAAACTCAAGGTACGATTCTACAAGCCGATTTACGTGGGTATGTGTATACTCGACGTATCGAAAGTCTGCCTGTACGAATTTCACCACGAGTACATGTTGCCGCTGTACCGCGACAAGTGCAAGGTCATGTACACCGACACGGACAGTCTCATATACCATCTCGAGTGCGAGGATGTTTACGAGACGATGAAACATGATATCGCTCGATTCGACACGAGCGATTATCCCATGGACAACGCGTACGGTACGCCTCGCGCGAATGAAAAAGTGCCGGGTTTGATGAAGGACGAGAACAATGGCGCGATAATGACAGAATTCGTCGGGCTCAGGGCGAAGATGTACGCGGTGAGGGTGGACGGTAGGAGGGACATCAAAAAGATCAAGGGGGTCAAGAGTAACGCGGACGATAACGTTTGACGATTACACGCGATGCCTGAACGAGCATATCGAAATGACTCGTAGTCAGTCGTGTATACGATCGAGGCTGCACGAGGTATACACGGTGTCCGAATCGAAAATCGCTCTGAGTCCGTACGACGACAAACGATACATCGTACCGAATTCAACTGAAACACTACCGTGGGGACATTGTCGGATACCGGTGTAATGTACATGTGCGTATATAATATGAATGATACGCGAGAGCGCGCTATAGATGAGAACGCGAAGGAGACCGCGTGCGCGTAAGCGAGAGCGCTATGCGTGGGAGAGAGAACACGCTATAGATGAGAACGCTATGCGTGCGCGTAAGCGAGAGCGCGCTATGCGTGGGAGGGAGAGCGCGCTATAGATTAGAACGCTAGGGAGACCGCGTAAGCGAGAGCGCGTTATGCGTGCGGCGTATCACAGTATTATAATTTTA